AACCAGGCCCCCCCCCCCCCCTCACCTCCACCAGCGAGCCATCCAGCGGCAGCAGCGCCGACAGCAGCCAGTAGAGCAGCGGCTGCGGGGCGGGGCCCAGCTGCGGCAGCGGCCGGCCCGGCCGCCCGTCAGGCGTGGGCAGGGTCTCCTCCAGCCGCTGCAGCAGCTGCTCGCGCTGCTGCTGCAGCATGCGCGCCACGGAGGCGGCCTCCGCTGGCAGTTGCTCAGTAGCTGCCAGGCTGCCCGCCGCCGCGGCCGCCGCCGCCGTCGCCGGCTGCATCAGCTGGTCGCACACCACTTGGCGCAGCGCGGGCTGCTGCCCCAGCTGCCCCAGCCAGCCCATCAGGCGCAGCGCAGCGGAGTGCTCCTGGGCGGGGCTGGGGGCACCGGCAGGCGCGGGGCTGCCCTCCGGCCTCAGGCAGCCTGCAGGCCAGGGCCAAAGGGCCAAGCACGGAACCGGGCGGCTTGGCCTGCAGTACCGACACGTGCAAAGTACCAGCATGCAGCGCAGGGGTGGCCCCCGCCTCAGGCACTTCCATGCCTTCAGGCAGCACGCCTGGGGTCCCACCCACCTTCCAGTGCCAGCTGCAGCCTGGCCAGGCAGCACCCCACTACGCCGCTCGCCACCGCCTCGTCGGCGGCGGGCAGGGCGGGCGCGGGGGCGGCGCCGCGGCCCTCGCCGACAGGCCTGCGGCACATCAGCACCGATTTGTCGGCGCCACATCAGCATGCCACATCAGCGTGCAACGTCAGGTCTGCGGCCATGCATTTGCATTGCACGCCGCTGCCCTGCAGCACCAGACTCGACCCCCCAGCATGCAGCCCTCGCCCCGTGCCTGTGCTGGCGGCAGCAGCCCTCGGTCCGCCAGCTGCTCATGTCCCCGCAGTCGCAGCAGCCGCCCGCGTCTGCAGAGGCCAGGGGGGCCGGCGGTGGCAGCAAGGCGGTGAGCCGTGGATTTTGCACGCCCCGCGCTGCATCTTTGCCATCTCCCTCTTTGCCCACGCTGGCTTTTACAAAACACACACACACACACACCAGCCCCGCTACCCGCCTGAGGTGTACATCACAAAGTCGTGCCCCTCGTGCTCAGAGGCCTGCAGGGGTGGTGGTGTGTGGTGGTGGAGGGGATGGGAGGGGACGCGTAAGCCGCCACCACAGGCAAGTTGGCTGACGGGCAGGCACCTTTGCGGGAAGCAGGCGAGCAGGCGATGGGCGGGATGCGGGCGGAAGGGCGAGGCCCCGCGGGGCTGGAAGGCAGCAGAGCGGTGGCAGCGGGCCTGCCGCCGCACCCTGAAGCAGTCGACGCAGATGGCGGCGGAGGGCGACAGGCCGCAGGTGTGGCACCTGAGGGGGGCAGGCAGGCGGGCAGGGCGGGCAGAGCAGGTGTGGGCAGGTGGGCTGCCAGGCTCGCATGCCGGCAAGGCATCGAGGGAGGAAAAGCCGCCGGGGCCCAGCCTGCCGCCCTGGCAGCGGCGGTGGCACACAGGCCCTCTCCTCCGCCACGCGCCACCCGCCCCGCGCCGAACCTGTAGGCAATGGTGCCGGCGGTCCACACGCGGGTGCAGGGCCCGCCGCCGCCGCCCCCGGGGGCCAGCATCTGCAGGTACTGGGGCAGGCTGGCGGCGCCGCGCAGCGCGCACAGCAGCGCGGCGGCCCGCGCCAGGCTGCCCTCCAGCTCCCCGCCCGCCCCCAGCCACCCGGCGGCACTCATCCCCGACACAGCCTGGTACAGCCGGGCGCCCGCCGCACGTGGCAAGGGGCGCTGGGCCTGCACGGATGATAGCATGGGCGGGGATTGGGCAAAGGGGGAAGGCGGGAAAAGGGGGTGGCGGCGGGGGTGGCGGGCGCAGGCAGTGGCAGCAGGGGGGCGCACCTGGTCCATAGAGACTCCTGCGGATCACCAGAGACGACTTGGGTCGCCCTGCGGCATGTTTGAGAGTCTCTGAGGGGCAGCTGCAGGGGTTCGCAGTGTGCGCGAGTTTACGCAGTGGTGGCAGCTCGAGGGCTTTCAAACCGGGCGACAGAAGGGTACACCCGGAAGCTTTCATCCATCCCAACCCCTGCCGAGGCTGTTCCGGCTCGGCCTGCCCCGTCGTGCCCAGCTGGACAGGCGGGGAGGCCAGGCTAGACCCGGCCGCCGCCATCGCGACATCGATCGATTATCCAGACACGGGCCCTGCACCTCCCAATCGCTGCGACACCACATCTCCTGCATGGCAGAAGAGTACAGCGCGGAGCGCTTCCTGGAAGAGGCACCCGCCAGCGGGAAGGAGGTGGCGTCAAGGGTGAAGGCCTGGATCGCTGCACACCACCACGAGGAGGTCCCCGACACCACCGCCGCCGCTGCCGCCGCTCCAGGCAGCGAGCCGCCCCGCCTGCGCCGCCCACTCGCCGTCGTCACCAGCGGCGGCACCACGGTGCCGCTGGAGCGCAACTGCGTGCGCTTCATCGACAACTTCAGCAAGGGCACGCGCGGGGCGCTGTCGGCAGAGCAGCTCTTGCAGGCAAGAGCGGGCAGCGGCAGCCAGCATATTTCACCATGGCAGCCAGCACACGCTGCAGCCGCGTGCCACATGCCTCGCAAAATGCAAGCAGCTGCCCTGCATCCACCCTTTGCGATGCGTGCAGGCGGGGTATGCCGTCATCTTCCTGAGCCGCCACGGATCCGCGCAGCCCTTTGTGTCAGGTCAGGCCCCGGGGCACCGCTGCGCCGCTTGCAGGGGGGCGCCAGCAGCATTCTCGCCTCATGTCGCCCGCTACGGGTGCGCCGCTGCGCCTGCGGCCGTGAAGCCTGATCTCCCATCTGCCTGCCTGCCTGCCTGCCTGCCTGCCTGCTTTCTGCCGCAGAGTTTCAGGAGGAGCTGGGTGCGGAGACGCTGGCCGACCTGTTTGAGGTGCGCTGTGAGGGGAGGGAGAGCAGGGGCGTGCCGCACCGAGAGAGCCAAGCCGTGCTGCCGCCAAAATCGGCTGGGAACTGGGAGGAGGGAGGCAGCGGCCTGGCTGTCCCATATACCCCGCCACATCTCCCTCTCCGGACCTCCCCCTCCCGAGCCGCAGCTGCGCGGCGACGGCGGCCTGCACGTGCGCAGTGCGCAGCAGGCACGCATGGCGGCGGCGGTGGCGCGGGTGCAGCAAGTGATGGCGGAGGGGCGCTACCTGCACCTTCCCTACACCACGCTCTTCGAGTACCTCGCTGTGAGCTGGGGCTGGGGGTGGGGGCTGGGGAGGGTTTCTGCCCGTGCCGGTGCGCACGTCAAGCGTGTGTGGGGAGAGTCGGGTGCATAGTGCCGGGCTGGAACTTGGCTGTGCATCTCGCGCTGCGGTGCCTGGGGCTGTGCGGGCAGCTGCCTGCCACCCGTTGCTGCCTGCCACCTGCTGCTGCCTGGCACCTGCCGCCGTGCAGTATCTGCATGCCCTGGCGCTGGCCCTGGCCCCCTACGGCCCCTCTGTGCTCTTCTACCTCGCCGCTGCCGTCTCCGACTTCTTCATGCCCTGGGCCGACATGGTGAGGCAGCGCGGCAGCAGGATGCCAGAGGCAGGCAGCACCCCACCCCCGCCCTGTTGTTGGTAGCTGATAGCTCCAGCCCGCCCGCCCACAAGCAGCACCGTTTCACCGGCCTGCAGGCGGAGCACAAGATTCAGTCGGCTGACGGGCCCCTCACGCTCACGCTGAAAAAGGTGGGCCTGCCTGTGGGAGGGCCTGGGTCTGCCTTCACGGCTGCACACGCCGCCCTCCTCTGCACAGGCACTTGAAAACACACACGCACACACACACATACACACACACATCTCCACAAATGCTCCACAGGTTCCCAAGATGCTGGGCACGCTGCGGCTGCGCTGGTGCCCCGCCGCCATGCTGGTCAGCTTCAAGCTGGAGACGGACGAACAGATACTGCTGCGCAAGGTGGGGTGCGGGTGGGCTGTTCTGTGCAGGGAGGAGCCTGGTCGGCCCTGTGCCCCAGGGCGGGACGGCGTGGGAGAAGAAGCACCAGCTTGCGGAGTCCGCTGGCGCCGACGACCGACCTCTGCCAGACGAGCCCCCACGGCTGCTGACCCCCCCTTCCCCCGCAGGCGTACGGCGCGGTGGAGGCGCATGGCGTGCAGCTGGTGGTGGCCAACGAGCTGCACTCTCGCAAGGACAGGGTGTGGCTGGTGCAGCAGGCGGCGGCGGACCAGGTGCGCAGCGCCGCGGCAGCACCCAGGCGCAGGGCTGCAGCGATGCCAGCAGTGCGCTTGCCGGCGCTTGCTGGCGGTCCCGCGACCTGCTTGTGCGTGTCCCGCTTTCGGCCGACGCTGCAGGGCGGCGGCATGGCGGTGCACAAGATTGAGCGGCCACCGCATGTGGCTGTGATCGAGACGCTGCTGGTGGGGAGGTGGTGGGCAGCCACCGGCGGTTCATGGCGGCGGCGGCGGCGGCGGCATCGCAGCGGCAGCAGCACCGGCAAGGAGAGCAGCAGCAGCGGCCTGTGGGCTAGGTGTGCAATCGGGGCTGGAGTTTTGATTCTTTTCAGATTGCCAATTAGCATTAACACTGGCTCCTTGGGCAGTGCACGACGGCAAGGAGTTGACGTGGCGGCGCTGAGTTGGCCTTCCCCCTGATAAATCCAATCGATCTTGCTTGGTGCGTTAACACGAAATGATATTGAGCTGTGTACCACCCTGCGCTGTGCCGGGCTGACCGCCTGGGTGTGAGGACAGCGGTGGTCCCGATGAGCGGCGCGCCGCTTCCCGCCGTCAGATCGCAGCGTGCTGCCATCCGGGTGGACACCGAGGGCGCCAAGTTCGAGGGGTGAGCAGCGATCCCATCGTGGCGCTCTCTCTCTGTGTGCGCTGTCTCTTGCCCTGCCCGTGCGCCGCTGCAGCCCATCGTGGCCTGATGCTGAGGGCAAGGCCTGCCCGCCGCCCGCAGATGGACGGAGCTGCGTGTGGCGGCCCCCGCCGCCACCTCTGGCGGCGCCACCGGCGGCAGCCTGGGCCTGCACTGCTATGGCCTGGCTGTTCACTCTGTGTCGATCAACGGCGAGCCGACCAGCTTTGAGCTGCTGCCGCCCGTCAGGTGCGCAGGCGGCAGGAGGGGCTGCCCATGCATGCAGCCATCAACATGTGGCACGACACCCTTTGCTGCCGCACCCACCTATACGCACAATGCTCCTGCAGGGAGGAGCTGCCAGAGGGGGTCGCTGCCGCGGCCTACGACAGCCCCCAGCGCCAGCTGGCGGCGGTGGCAGAGGCTTCTTTCTACCTGTACGAGCGCCAGCTGCAGCGCGAGCGCCTGCCGGAACTGTCCATCCAGCTGCCAGCCCAGCCGCAGTGGCAGCAGCAGCAGGGGCAGGAGCAGGCCGCCGATGGTCCGGGCAGCGGCAGCAAAAAGGGGGAGCTGTGCATCCGCGTGGAGTATAGCGGCGGCAGCGGCGGCGGCACCACCTCGGGGCTGCACTTCTGGCGCCGCTACGCATGCACCGACAACCAGGTGGGCTGCTGTCTGCGAGGGATGGGGCGGCGCCCGCACCCCTTGCGGCATGGAATGCATGCTGGCACTATGCGCACACAGCGCGGCGCCGCGCTGCCGCCCTTGTGTGCAGGTGCGCCGGGCCAGCGCCTGGCTGCCATGCGTGGACACGCCCTCTGCGGCGGTTTCTTTCCAGCTGGACCTCACCTGCCGCGCCGAGGAGGTGGGCTTGCGGCTGGGTGTGTGTGTGGGCACTGCCAGGCAGCTCGTGCAGCAGATAGGCGAGCCTTTCGGCGCTGGTTTAATGTTCCACGGCTGCCTGCCCGAGCTCCTCATCCCGGTGCTGCCTGGCTGGCCTGCCCGCTGTGACTGCGCCGTGCACCCCTGCCGCCCTTGCCCGCCACGCAGATGGCGGTGGGGCCGGGCCAGCTGCTGCGCCAGAGCTGGGCCGACGGCGGCAGGCAGTGGCGCACCTTTCACTACTCTGTGCCCATCAGGTGGGCAGGCTGCGGCTGCCCACGACTGCCCCCCTCCTGCACCGCATCCTTTGGCCGACTGCTGTTGATGGACCCCCAACCGCGCCACCCTCCCACCACCCCCACGCCTCTCCTGCCCTCTGCCCCGCAGCTGCGCGCCCTGCCACCTGGGCTTTGCGGTCGGCGAGTTCCGGGTGGTGGCGGAGGCGGCGCCTGCGGGCAAGAAGGGCGGGGGCGCGTCCAACGGCGCCGCCAACGGCGCCGCCAACGGCGCCGCGAATGGTACCGCCGACAATGGCAAGTCCAAGACAGGCGCACCGTCGGCGCATGACCCGAAGCAGCTCACCCACTTTGCGCCGCACGAGCTGCCTCCCGAGCTGGTTGTTGCGGCGGTGCTGGCGGTACCGCCGGCGGTAACGACGGACGAGCCGGAGGTGCCGTCCGCGGCGGCAGCGGCGGCAGACGGCCTGGCCCGCGCCGCCCACTTCTTCACCCTCGCCTACTCTCTGTTTGAGGAGGTGCTGGGGGCGCGCTGCCCGCTGCCCGCCATGCAGCAGGTGCGGGTGCTGGTGTGCGGCAGGGTGGAGGGGAGCCGCGCTCTGCTTGGTGTCAGCTCTTGCAGCAACTCCCGGCTTTCCTCGCTCTGTTTCCGCACGTATCTGCTTGTACCGCCCCACCCACCCACCCACCCGCCTCAGGTCTTCCTGCCCCCCGAGCTGCTGCTGAGCGAGGGCCAGTCGCTGGCGGGGCTGCAGCTGCTGGGCACCGGGCAGCTCATCCAGGCCAGAGCCATCGAGCAGTCCAGTGAGCGCCGCCTCGGGGCGCCCTCCTTCTCGCCTGCCTGCCCGCCCGGCATGCCCACTGGGGCGCCTTCCTTTTCGTCTGCCTGCCTGCCTGCCTGCTCGCCCGCCTGCCTGCCTCGTGCTCCTCTGCAGCATGCCATGCCCGCGTGCGCCATGCCGCGCGCGCCCCCTGCTCGACCCTGCGCCGCAGTTGCGGCGCGCGGCGCCATCGCTCGCGGCCTGGCGCGGCAGTGGTTTGGGGTGCTGCTGCGGGCGGCCACCCCACTAGACGAGTGGCTGGTGGAAGGTGAGCCGAGCGCTGAGAAGCTGCCCCTGGCCATTTCTATTGCAGCCGGACAGCGACTGCGGGCTGGTCATCGGCGAGTTGCGGCAACCTTGTTGGCATTTTCCTGGTGCCTGGCCGCTCTTCTGAGGTGCCGCCTGCCTGCCTGCACCTGCCGCCGCGCCGTCGCCGCTGCAGGGCTGGCTGGCTGGCTGGAGGAGCAGTGCCTGCGCAAGTTCCTGGGCAGGAACGAGCTGGCATACAAGTAGGCCGGCCGCCTGCCGCTCTCAGCCTGCTGGCCGCCGCACCTGCTGCTGCTGCTGCCGCTGCTGCCGCTGCTACGCTTCCAGCTCGCCCCAGCAGCGCTGCAGTCGGGCTGCAGCAGGATTCAGCAGGCCTGCAAGCAACCGCAAGACCTTCCATTGCCGCTGCCAACCGCTCCTCGCTTGCGCATGCGCCATGCAGGCGCTGGCGGGACAGGCAGGCAGTCTTCCTGGCCGACAACGGCGAGGCGGCGCCGCTGGCGGCCCGGTGCGCCGCGCCGCCAGTTGCCATGCAGGGGCCTGTCGGGCCCACGCTGGGCTTGCAGTGCGCCGGTTGAACCACTTGACCCACCCACCCACCACCGCTGCGAACGCGTGCCGCCCATGCGCCGTCTCCCCACCGCGCCGCCGCCTGCAGCGGCGTGTCTGTGCCCTCGCCCTGGGGCCCGCTGTACGGTACCGAGCGCCTGGACCCGTCCCGCCTGTGGAGCACCAAGGCACGCCTGCCGGCCGCCTCCCAGCCCGCTGCCGAGTCGCGCTGGCACCTCCTGCGGCACTTTCTCAGCTCGCTCGCACCTGCCACGCCACCCCACCCACCCTCGCCCCGCCATCGTGCGCCCACCCTCCGCCCCAACCTCTCACCATGCCCTCCCCTGCCACCTCCACCCTCACCCCACCCCTGCAGGCCACCGCCGTCGTCGCCATGCTGGAGCGGCGGGCTGGCGAGGAACTGTTTCGCAAGCACGTGGGGGATGTGGTGGCTGGGGCCATAGCCGCGGTGCAGGCGGAGCAGGCGGCAGTAGCGGGCACCGCCAGCGGCGCCGCGGGGCCGTCGCAGTCGCCTGCTGCAAGACCGTCGCCTGCTGCGGGGTCCGAGGGAGCGGCGGCAGCAGCGTCGCCGGGGCCGGCTGCGGCGGGTGTGCCTGGCAGCAGCCCGCAGCAGCAGAAGCAGCAGCAACGCGGGGGTGCCGCGCAGCGTGCCAGCCGGCTGCTGGATACCATGACTTTCCTAAACGATCTGGGCAGGCACGTTTGGGGGGGGGGGGGGGGGGGCCGCATCCCCAAAGCGCCGCTGGCTGCCTTGCTCGGTATCCAGCTGCGCGCGCGTGTGCACTCGCGTGCTGCTGTGCCCTCTGCTGATGCTGCTGCTGGTGGTGGCACCGCCGCGTTGGCATCTGTGCCCGCAACCCCCGACCCCCGCACCTGCCTCCCAACCGCCTCCCACTCAACTGATGGCCCTCCACCCCCCTGCAGGGCGGGCTCCTTCCGAAAGGAGATGGGCCCCTTTGCCGTGCGCTGGGTGTACGGGCGCGGCGTGCCGCACATCACCGCAGCCTACATCCACCACAGGTGGGCGGTGGCTGCTGCAGCGGCGGCGTGCGTGTGCGCAAGCGGCTCTGTGTGTGGGGGCCAGGGCAGCAGAGGCAGGGCTGCTCAGCTGGTGAGGTGCGGCGCGGGCGGCCTGCCCTCCTGCGGCGGCGGCTTGCAGCAGCGGCGGCGGCCCGCGCGGTGCTGTCCCTGCATCCAACCGCTGCGCCCCTCCGCCCCAACCCTCCCACTCACTTCACACGCTAGCCCACCTCCCCTCTTTCCCTCCCTTGCAGCCGCGTGTCTGCGCTGGAACTTGCCGTGAAGCAGGCGGGGCCGGAGAGCGCCAAGCGGGCGGCCGATGCAGCGGAGCGTGCCGCCGTGGCGGGCGGCAGCAACGCGGGGATCATCAAGGTGAGTGCGCCTGCCTGGATGCAGCGAGACAGGATGGGCGCCTTTGGCGGTAGTGGGAGGTGTGGAGCGAGGCGGCGCAGGCGGCAGCCGCACCGGGGGCTATACAACTGGGGCAGGTGGCAGCGGCAGCAGAGGTTGGGAGATGCTGGGTTGCTGGCAGGGTTGCCAACCACCTGTCCTGACCAGCGGTGCACCTGTTTCCCCCCCTGGGGCCCCCCAACCCCACCCTTCGCCCCTAGCAAGCGCCACGCCGGCCGCCGCACCTGCCCGCCCCCTCCCCGCAGGCTGTGGTGCGCGAGGGCGAGCCGCCCACCTCCACAGACCACCCTGTCCACCTGGGTGGCGAGGCATTTGTACTGACAGAGCTCAAGGTCACGCCGGTGGTGGAGAAGAAGCAGCCCGGAAGGTGCGCCCGGGCCAGCCGCCTGCGCCGGCTGCAGGCATGCTACAAAGGCGGCACCTGGACAGCTGCTTGCTCGCGCGGCAGGGGCCACGCATTGGCTGCCCCTGGCATGCGCCCAGGACGGCAGGCAGCTCAGAACGTCCTGGGCGGGTTTGGCCGGTACCGTGCATGGCCACCACGAAGGCTGCCCAGGACAGCACCCGGCTGTGTGGTTGTTGGTGGTGCGCCGCAAACCCTAAACCACCTGCCTTCCTGGCTTCCCGCAGGCGAAAGCGTAAGGTGGAAGGCGTGGAAGTTGATGAGGCGCCCAAGACCATCGTCGCCACCCCAGGTGCGCCGGGCGGCGGCGGCGGCTGTGTGTGCTGCGTGCACCATGCCTGTGTTCCTGCCCAGGTATGCCATGCCTTGGCATTGTGTGACGTGGGTGCTGGCTATTTAGGGTTTAGGGTTGGGCACCAGGCAACGCCCGACTGCATGGCGGCCGCGCGCACTGCACTTTGCCGCCGACACCCGGCCTCCCTGCCTGCCCTGCCCTGCCCGCAGAGGAGCCTGTGCTGTGGGTGCGGCTGGACCCTGCCTGCGAGCTGCTGTGCGATATACGGCTGATGCAGGTGTGTGGGTGGGTGCTTGGGGGGTGCTTAGTGGGGAAGGGGTGCAGGCGGAGGGTGGCACTAGGGGCTAGCCGGTTGGTTGCAGGTGGAGGTCGGTGTCAGTGTGGCTGGCATCCCGTCGCCACCACTTATCACTGCCCCTCACGCTCCTCGCCCAGCCCGACCCCTCCCTCACTCCCCGCGCCGCAGCCCGAGCGCTGCCTGGCGGCGCAGCTGCTGCAGTCGCGGGACGTGGTGGCGCAGGCGGAGGCGATCCAGGTGGGGGCCGTGCCGCACCCCGGCCCCAGAAAGCGACAACATGTCCCGCCGCCACGCCTGCCTGCTGCTGCCGCTCTGCCGCTGTTGCCCGCCTGCCGGCACCCCTCGCTTGGTGCCTAGTCAACCCCCGCCAGCACCCATGTGCCTCCTCGCCTCCCCACGCGAGCGCCGCTTGCCTCATCAACCACCCCCGCCTGCCTCTTTCCGCAGCGCCTGGCCGAGCTGCGGGTCCACTCCGCCGCCACCTGGCGCCAGCAGCCGGGGGTGGATGCCCTGCGCCGCACGCTGGCAGACCGGGCTGCCTTCTACAGGTGGGGGGGGGCTGCTGGCCGGGTGGATGGCATGCTGGGGTGGCGGGTGTGTGGGCTAATGTGAGGCGGGTACCTGTCCCGAGCCAGCATGGCACGGCGCGCTGCGGGGCAGAGGGAATTGCGGGGGCCGGCCCACCGCAGGGTGTTGCTTGCCCCATCCCGTCGCCACCGCCGCCGCTGCACATGCAGAGTGCGGTGCGATGCGGCGCTGGCACTGGCGGGGCTGCGGGATGAACAGGGACAGGCTGCAGGTGGGCGGGCGCAAGGTCACAGGGCAGGGCTGGGATTCTGGCTGGGACGCGGCCGCCAGGATGCGTGCTCCGCCATGCTGCGCTCCTAGGTCCTCCCCCCTTCTCTGCTGCCTATCCCTTCACCAACCCTCGCCGCGGGCCCGCCGCGCACACACACTACAGTATTGGGGCTGTTCCGCAAGCTCCTTTTCCGACATGCGGACAGTAAACCCGAACAGACAACGCATCCCCCCTGTCCCCTCACTCACCTCCACCCGCCCGCCCGCCCCCCTCCCCACCCTCGCCCACAGGCCTCCCCCTGCTCCTCGACTTCTACCGCTCCCACTACTTCCTGCCCGGGTCGGAGGTGCCTCGCTCCATCGCCATCGCCGACCCCTCAGAGTACTTTGTGGCGCAGGCGGTGGCCACGGCGGGTGCGTGTGCGTGGTGTGTGTGTGTGTGTAGTGGCGGTGTGTGGTGGCGGTGTGGTGGTGGTGCATGGTGTGTGGTGGCGTTGCATGGGTGCGGCATGCGGCGAGCGCATGGCTGCGGCGGTGCTTGCTCGCCATGCTTCTTGCTCTCCGATTGCTTCTTGCTCTCCGCTTGCTCTCCGCAGCGCCCCGGCCATCCCTGCCTCTGCGCCCCACCCACCCACGCCTTCCCCACTCTTCCCACCCACTCGGCCCACCCACGCCCGCGCCGCCCTCCCCTGCCTGCCGCCGCCCCGCAGTGTCCCTGTGCCGCGAGCCCGACGGCTCCACCCCCATCGACGTCGTCCTCTTCCTCTCCACCTGCCTCAACGAATACGTGTCGGTGCCGGGGGGTGAGCGCCGGGCAGCGCTGGGGGAGGGCGATGTATGCTTGGGGGCGGCAGAGCCTGCTCCGCCTCGTCCTCTCGCCCCTGGTTTCCCTCTGCTGCGGTCTGACCCCGCGCCACCCCACATACCCTGCCCCCCCACACTCCCACCCCCATCCCACCACCACCACACCCCCTCAACACACACACACACGCCTGTCCCCTCCCCCCCTGTACACGTACGTGCAGCCCCCTTCAGCGACTATGGGCTGGTGGCCGCGCTGTGCGCCTCCCTGGGCAACGTGCAGTTCGAGGGGGTGAGTGCGGCTCGCTGGGGGCGGCTGGTGTGTGTGTGTCTGGGAATGTGGGGGATCAGTGGGGAGCTGTGCCAGATGTGTGTGTTGGCGTGTGGGACGTTTCTGGAGCGCCCCCGCTCTCACGCAGCCCGTCGCTGCCCTCGTTGACCCCGCCCCCCTGCCCCGCCGCGCCCTGCGCCCCCCCCCTCCCTCAGTTTGGCGACTCCCTGCTGACTCTGCTGGAGAAGTTTCTGGAGCGGGACTCGGGTGGGTGGGTGCAGCAGGCTGGGGTGGGGTGGGGTGGGGCGGCTGGGTGCCTTTGGGGTTGGCTGTGGTGCCTTTAGGGGTGACTGCCGTGCCTTTAGGGGTGGCTGCCGGGTGCGCGTTCTGTTGCTGAGAGGGCGGGGTACGTGATGGGAATGTGCGCCGGCGCTTGCTTGGGGCGCTGTGAATCTGCCCGCGCTACGCCCCTGCCCCGCCCTCGCCCACCCCTGCCTGCCTGGACGTGCCGCCCCGCTCCTGCCCCGCCCTCCTGCCGCAGTGCTGGTGTCCCCGGGCAGCGCCGTGGGCTGCGCCTGCCTGTCGACCATGGCGGCGCTATGCGCCAACGGGACGTGCAGCGAGGAGGAGCAAGCACGGGTGGCGCTGGTGGTGCGCCGCGTGCGCCAGTCGCCCGGCCTGCCTGTGGCGGCGCGGCACGCGGCCCTGGCTGCAGCGCTGGACCTGGCCGCCGCGCAGCGCGGGCCCGCGGCGGCCCTGCAGCTGGCGGTGGCGGCGGCAGAGGCAGCACAGGCGGCAGAGGGGCCCGAGGCAGCGGCGGCGGCGCCGCCGCTGCTGCTGCCTTCGGCCTCCACCCCAGCCCTTCTGCTGGAGGAGGCAGCGCAGCTGATGGTGGCAGCCACAGAAGCTGCGGCGGGTGCCGCCGCCGCCAGCGAGCTCTTTGGCGGGGCAGAGGGCGGCGGCGGTGCCGCCGCTGCCGTAGACATCCCCATGCCGCTGCTGCGGCGCCTGGCGGCGCTGCTGAGCGCTGGGCGGGACTGCCGGGCACGTCACCTGGCGTTTGTGGTACTGCAGCTGCTGGCGGTACAGCCCCCCACGCTGTACCGCCCGCCGCCGGTGGAGGCGGAGGAGGATGCCGCCGCGTTCATCGCCTCTGGCGCGGCCGCGGCGGCGGCAGCGGGGCAGGCTGTCAGCCTGGGCGGCGCCACCCACCGCACCGGCGGGCAGCACCCCTCGGCAGGCGCAGCAGCGGTTGCGGCAGCCCCCAAGATCCGCCTGCACCTGGGCGGCGGCGCGGCGGGTGGCGGCGCGCGCAGCGTCGCGCTCAGCGGCGGTAAGCGTGGGCTGCGGGTGCCGCCGGCAAGGGCCTCGATGGTAGCAGCTACTGCCCTGCTGGCGTGCCTGCACCTGCCACACCCCTCCCTCGTGCCGCTGTCCCATCACGAGCCGTCAAACGCCACGCCTGCTGAGCGCCCCCACTCCCGCCCCGCCCTGCAGGCGTCAGCGGTCCGGAGCTGTCTGGGGAAGGCCCCGCCGTCAGCGACGCCTGCGTGCTGTCGTTGGGTGCGGTGGAGCAGCAGGCGCCGCAGCGGGAGCAGCAGCAGGGAGTGCCGCCAGAGGCGCGCGGCCAGCTGTTCTCCCCTGTGCGGGGCGCTGGTGGCCTGGTGGCGGCCGTTCCTTTTGGCACGGCGTTGGGGGGGGAGGCAGGCCAGGAGGCCGCCAGCCAGCAGCAGCAGCAGGCGGCCTTTGCAGGTGGCGAACCCTTTGTGGCGCCTCAGCCGCAGCCGCAGCCCGCAGGGCCAGCAGCCGCGCCTGCCGCGCCCAAGCTGCGTTTCAAGATGCCGGCGCCAGCGGCGGCGCAGCAGCAGGAGCAGCAGCAGGAGCAGCCCGCTCCTGCGCCGGCGGGCAGGAAGCGCAGGGCGACGCCGCCGGCGGCTGCCCAGCAGCAGGCGCCGCCGCCGGCTGCCCAGCCGTCGTGGTGGCAGCGGGCGGCCTTCCCTGACCTGCAGCAGCAGCCAAGCGGAGCCCCCTTGGCCGCCCCTCCGCCAGACGGCAGTGCCCCGCCAGTGCCCTATGCAGCATCGGGATGGGACGCAGCCGCAGGGGCGTGGGGGGCAGGCGCGCCAGGAGGTGGGGCCGGGGCGGGGCTGCCGCAGCCGCTGCCCGCGCAGCAGCAGCAGCCGCCGCAGCAGGCGCCCCCCAAGACCAAATTCAAGCTGAAGGTCAAAATGCCGATGCCTCCGCAGTGAGGAGCAGCAGCGTTGTGCAAATGCTGAAACCTGAAGGGGTGGCGCCAGGAGGCGCAAGCGGCGGCGGGAAGGGCCCGGCGAGTGGGGATACCAATGCCGAGACGCGCGCTGCGATTTCCGAGTGCGAATTTAGAAGTAGGTTTCTAGGCGGCATGCACTGAGAGGCCCTCTCTTGAAAGAGGGAATGTGCCAACAGCCACCGACGTTTCCTGCCCGTGTAAGCCCCTGCAATCGATCTGGTAGGGCGTATGAAACACGTGGATGGGATCCCAAGGGCGCTACTGCTCCCCAGGAGCGCATCCATGCATCGGCCAGGGAGGTGGAAAGACGAAGAATAAGTGGTAGAGGTCTCCAACCGCCGACTTGCTCCGCCACATTGTCACAGCATCGTTGCCCAGGCCCCCTGACCAGTCCGTCGTCCCCGCCGTTGGTCACCCGGCCCGCCAGCACCAACCCCTACCACCCCCAATCTCACCGGGGCCTCTCCACAGCCAGCACATCAGCTCACATCATGCAGGCCACGTGCACCACCCGCACCTTGGCGTCCAGCGCCCAGCCCGTCGTGGCGTCGGCTGCCAATGGGCGGCCACCCCGCCCCTCCTACGCCGCACGCCGCTCCAGGTGGGGGCTGCTGCTGCGGTGCTGTACTTGGCCAACCCCAGCAGCTGCCGCCGCCGCCCCATCACCACACCTCCCGGAAGCCATGGCGGCGCCTGAACCCCGCCGTGCCAGAGCTACCACCGTCACCTCCGCCGCCGATGACGACGACGCGCGCCCCGCTTCCTCGCACGAGCTGTTCCCAGCGCCCTCACGCCCCCGCTCCCCTGCCTGTTGTACTGTCGCACCTGTACTGCAGCGTGAGCAGCTCCGCCATGGCTGGCAGCATGAGCCTGGGCAGCTCCACCTGGACCGATGTGCCCTCCACCTACACCATGGCCGACTCGCCCGATGCGCTCAAGGTGCGGGCGGGGCGGTGACAGGCCACACCGGTCTTTCAAAGCACCGCTGTGCTAGGCACGCTGCGGGTGGGGAGGCGGACGCAGCAGGCTGGCGGGCTTAGCACAGGGCCGCCGCGGCAACAAATATTGACCCACACACCGCGCCGCGCAGAGGCAGGGCCTGTGATTGCCGTTCCTGCGACAGCCGGCCGCCTAGCGCAACGTGCAGCCCCGCACGCCGCCGTCCCCGCGCCGCCCCCGACGCCCGGCGCCCGCCCCCCCCTGTCCCGGCGTGCCGCAGGACTTTGCCACTCTGCAGGCGATGATGGATGAGATCCAGAAGAACATTGTGGCCCGCCAGGACAAGATCAGCCTGCTCAGCGAGGAGGTGCGATTTGGCTGGGGAGAGGCGGGGAGGGGGGCGCCCTGCCTGGGGCTGTGTGCAGGCGGTGCGCAGCTGAAGGGAGCGACTTCCTCGGCAGGAGGAGGAGGGAGCGGAGCGGATGGGCACATGAGCGGGGGCAGCCGCGACGCAGCTCACCCTTTTGCACGCGCCACGCCGCCTGGCCCCGCCCAGCACGCCATTTCGAACGCGCCGCGCCGCCGCCCCGCTCACCTCCCCTGCCGATGCCCTGCCTCTTACCCCCCCCGCTGCAGGTCAAGCTGCTGCGCGGGCGCATGGGCCTGGCGGAGAGCCGCATGGGCGGCCGCGACTGGGCGCTGCCCGCCGCCTCGGCCGCCGGCAGCAGCCAGCAGGCCAGCCTGATCCTGTCTCAGCTGCAGGGCGGCGCGGGCGTGGGCGCCGACGCCTCCTTCCTCGAGTCCCTGCTCAGCGACAAGGCGCTGCAGAGCTCCACCGCCTCATATGCGCTGGCCGTGGCCGCCATCATCTTCACCGGGGGGGTGGCGGCGCCCGTGGTGGAGGAGAAGCTGGGCCTGGGGGGTGAGCGCCTTGGGGTGGCGGGGGGGGGGTAGCTGTGTGGGAGTGGGGGAGTGTGCTTGCGTGTGTCATGGCAGGCCAGAGGCTGCAGCGGATGGGCCGGCATCCGAGGCGGGGCGGGGCTGCTGCAGCTGGCCGCTCGCTCTGCCGGCCAGCCCCTCTCACCGCCCGCCCCGCACCTCCGCCCCCGTGCCTCCACCCTGCCTGCCCCAAACTCACCTCCCCGCTCACCCCATGCCCCCCCACCCACCCCCCCGCAGCCGCCGCCTACTACGACTACGTCGCCTCCCAGGACCTGCCCGTCACCCTGGCTGAGGTGGACCCCATCACATCGGCGGTGGCGGGCGGCGCGGTGGGCGTGCTGACCGCGCAGCTGCTGGAGGAGGCCAAGGTGGGGGCTGGGGCTGGTGTTGCCCTTGTGTTGCCTGTGTGTTGCGGGGTGCGTGGTGTTATGCCTATGGCTGGGCCCGAGGGGTTAAGATGGCGGGGCATGAGGGAGATTTCGAGGGCGGTGATATTGGGCGGCGCTCCGCCACCGCCTGCTGCCCAGCGCTCACTGCCACCCCCGTGCCCCTCCCTCCTGCTCGCCATGCAGGCCCGGCAGCGGCGGTCGGCGTGAGCGGCTCCGGAGCACCACACCACTTCCCGTGGCGGAGCTGCACCATACGGCGGCCCCATGCGGGGGCCGCTGCCCGGCGTGCGGCGCCCCACGCCTGAAGAACTGTCACACCCGAGGCGCACGCACGCGCACATTTGATTCCCTTTGCTGAACGAGCTCATTGGCTTTACGCGGAGCAAGGCCCGCTCGCCAGGGCCCCTCGGCTCTCTTCCCTTTCCCTTCCCGCCCGGCGCACACACACACACACACACCTCTCGAATCCCTTGCCTCACCACACACCCTGTACCTGATTTTTACAATTGCCATGTGTGCACGGCGCTTTTGTAGGCGGCGCGCCGCTGGCGGCGCCCCCGCCCAGCCCGGCGCGCCGCGTGCTGCTTCCTGTTCCCACTCCCGTTCCCGCTCCAGAGCTACCTCTGTCTGTCCGTCCGTCTGTCCATCTCGTTGCTGTCTCCCTCTAACACTATTACCCATCACCACGGGGGCAGGCGTTCGGTGCAACCTAGATCCAGCAGCAGGTCTGCTGCAGGGGGCGAGGCTTGGGGGGGATCTGCTGCACGGCTGGGCAGGGCCGCAGGCATGCAGCGGAGATAGACCCTGGAGGAGGTGTGGTGGAGAGGGCCCCAGTCCGGCCCTTAGAGCACTCCGATTGGGACCATTAGCATGCTGGCAATTGAGTGCTGGGGCCCTGAGACCCGTTTACAAGGAGCGAGCAGGATTGCTGGTTGGCAGTGGCAAAGCTTGCATGAATGGCTGAAGGGGAGCAAAATGAAGGCCTACTCCCCGTCACATGAGACGATTTCCTGCCAATTGTAAAAAATGCATGGTGACCAGCATGCCCGCCTCTTTCCCCTGCTCCTGCCACCTCACCCCTGGCCAGCCGAGGCGCCGCAAGCAGGCTCACACGCCGCGCAGCCACTCCGCAATCTGCTGCGCGTTGGGGCGCAGCGCCGGGTCGGCCTGGGTGGCGGCGGCAAAGATGTGGGCCGCCAGCGGCGGCGCCCCCTCCGGCATCGCCACCACCGGCGCCAGCGCCGCCGCCCCGCTGGCCTGCGGTCAGCCGTGGAGCGATATGATTCATTGTTACTCAACTAATACACTCCGAGTGCTCACCTCACTTCTCTGAGTCTGTGCTGGCATTCGACGATATTATTTTAAGCCCCAGCCAGCCCCGCCGCCATCACGGCACTCGCGCCGCACATCAAGCACCCGCCGCCGCTGGCGCAGCCGCTGACGGGGCTGCCTGCCAGCCAGGCGGTGCAGTGCAGTGCAGGCGCCCACCTGGTGCTGCGGGGGCAGCGAGCGGGTGAGCGCCAGCGGCTGGCGGTCGGCGATGTCGGCCCCGCTCACCAGCTCCCACACCAGCAGACCGTAGCTAAAGATGTCGGCCTGGCAGCGGGGGGTGGGCAGCAGGGGGTGGCAGCAGGGGGTGGCGGCGTGGTGGGAGGCATGCGGCGACGCCGGAGGTCCCGCGGGAACAGCTTCAGCGCTCCCGCTCCGCAGCTGCACCAGCAGCCTGCGCCCGAACCGACCGCGCCGGGCATCTGCAGCGGCGGCGCGCCCTCCACAGGCAGAGCTCTGAACGGCTCCCCACCCCACCCGCCCTACCCTCTCCCGCCCCACCTTGACACCAGCCCGCTCCCGGCGCAGCACCTCGGGCGCCGCCCACAGAGGCGTCATGAGTGGCTGGGCGGTGAGCAGGTCGGCCATGTGCGGGCGCACCATGCCCACATCCGCAATCTTGGCCACACCCTCCTCTGCAGGTGAGGCGGGAGAGGTGGGTGAGGGAGTCGAGGGAGGGAGGGCGCGGCAAAGGAGGACGGTCCGCAGGCTGGCAGGGTGGGTGGCATCGGCGGCTGGCAGGAAGCTGTGCAGCTTTTGAGGGCGGCTCTTGCAGTTGCAGGCAGCGCTGCGGCGCCCTCGCCTGACAGAAGGATGTTGGGGCTCTTCAGGTCTCGATGGCTCATGGGCGGCCGCCGGCTGCAGCACGGCAGGCACAGCGACTGCAGTAGTGGCTGTGCAGCAGGCTCAGCGTGACCGGCAGCGAGCGCAGCGCTATGCAGCACTGCCCGCAGCTGCCTGCACCGGCAGCGCCATTGTCTGTCTGATGCGGCTTGCCACACACACACACACACACAGACACAGCAGCAGCAGCAGCAGCAGCAGCAGCAGCAGCAGCGGCGGCGGCGGCCAGGCCACCAGGCCACCTGTGCAGGTAGTTGAGACCCAGAGCCACATCCAGCGCGACCCGCCGCCCCAGCCGCTCCCAGCGCAGCGCGGCCGGGTGGCGCCGCAGCGCGGTGTACAGGTCGCCGCCTGGCGGATAATCACCCATGATGTGTGGGGTGGGTGGGGAGGGGCATTGGTTAATTGGGTTGGTGCACAAGGCAGCGAAGCTAGGAGGCAGGGGGCAGAGCCGGGAGCGGTGGCAGCAGGCGGCACCAAGCAGCCACGCGCCGGCAGGCGCGCCGCACCCTTCATGAGCTCTGTGACGAAGAAGAGGCTGCCCGGCTCCAGGCAGGCACCATAGTACTGGGGAGCAGGCATGGGGGGGAGGTGCAAGGGGGGTAGGGAGGCAGAGCGGATGTGCCGGCGGCGGTGGTAGCCTGCTGAGCAGAGCCGCCAGCAGGGCATGAGGAAAACCAGCAGCAGCCAGCAGGGACACGCTTGCACTGCAGGAGTGCCCACAGCGGCCTCCCCTGCCGGCCCGGGACCCAGCCCCTCCCCATGCATACGCCGTGCGTGCTTGCCTGCACGATGTTGCGGTGGCGCAGGCCCGCCAGCAGCTGCACCTCCTGGTGGAAGGTGGCCAGCTCAGCGTCTGCAGCAGAGGCAGGGCAGGGCGGAGGGGCACCTGTACTGTCAAGAAAGTGTGATGGGGAACAAGGACGGCGGTATGGCGGCAAAAAGGCAGGTGAGCGGGGCGGGGCGCTGCAGCATGCAGCAGGCAGCAGGCAGGACAGCGACAGCGCTGCCGCGCGGCTCCGTGCAGGAGCGCCGGCGGTGCAGCAGCACCCCTGGGGCCGCCCATGGGCGTGGCCACCCCACGCCAGCCAGCCGGCAACCCACCTGAGGGCACCTCTGCTTTGATGCACTTCACCGCCACCTCGTCCACGCCGTTCATCAGGCCCTGGCCAGGCGGCGGGGCGGCGAATGGAAGGCGGGCGGTGAGTTGAGAGGCGAGCGCTGGCTTGCGGTCGGCTGATGTGGCAGGAAGTGTAGGGGGCACAGCGTGGCCGGCAGAGCCTGCGCCAGCAGTAGCCAGCAGCAGCCAGCTGCGGCGCCATGGCCGCTGCTGTTCGTACCGTGGCGGTACTGCAGTGGTACCACAGTCCCCCAGCCCAAAGGCCCCGGCTTGCCTTGAAAACCAGCCCAAAGCCGCCCTCTCCCAGCTTCCAGGGCCGCCCTGATGGGTCCTGCAGAGGGCAGCATGGTACGGCAGGCATGGTAGCTAAGCTGGCACTGGCGGCGGGATCGGCGGCGGTGCAACGCCGGCGACCTGCCAGCGAGCGAGGCAGGAAGCGGGCAGCATCCAGGTGCCTCTCTGTCCCTGAGGCAGGCTGCCCACCCGCACCTGACAGATGAGGATGTCGGCGCGGCGCAGCAGCGGGCCGCCGCCGCCGGGGGCGGCGTGCTCGCTGGTGCTGCCGGCCTCGCTGCCCTCTGCCTTCGGGCCCGATGCCAGCGGATCGCCCGAGGCCGCTGATCCAGTGTCCCACAGGGCGGCGCCAGCGCTGCAAAACTTGGATAGGGGCAGCGGGGTGGCTCCCACAGGGCTGCCCGGCGGCGCCGCCGCGGCCGGCACCGGCGGCGGCTTGTGGCGCAGCAGCTTGCCCAGCTGGCGCCGTGTCCTGGAGGGCAGCTGGGCCAGCACCCCTCCTGCCGCCACGGAGCTGCCGCCACTGGCTGCGCTGCTGGCAGAGGCCGGCTGGCGCGGCTGGGGCTGCTGCTGCCGCGGGGTGGCGGCGGCGTCACTCCCAGCAGTTTGGGAGCCCAGGCTCGGCTGGCCGGTGCTGCCGGGTGTGCTGGGTTGGCGGCGGTGGAGGACTGAGGAGGGTGTGGCATCCTGTTCGCTGCCTGCTGGCAGCCGGCGCTCTGAGGGCACTAGCTCCGACAGCAGCGAGGGGGAGGTGGAGGGGAGAAGGTCTGGGGAGGCTGTGCCTGCGGCCGGCTGCGCGGCTGGCTGGCGCAGGGCGGACACAGAAGCATGCATGGCGGGGACAGGGTCGGGGGCGGCCGCTGCTGCTGCCGGTGCTTGCATGTGTGGTTCGGCGGCCTGCTGGGGAGGGGCGGCTTGCAGGATGGCTAGCAGCATGGCTGCCAGCTGGCGCTGCTGCGGGTCCGGCCCCGCCAGAGCAGGCGCAGGCTGGTCGCGGCGGGCGGCAGCGCGGTGGCGGCGGGCGCGGGGGCCTGCTGGCACAGCATGCACAGCGCGCGCAGCGCCGCCGTGCACAGCCCCTCCCTCAGGGCCGCCTCATAAGCGTCATGCAGAGTGTCGTGAATGGTGACTGGCCCAGAGGCGCTGCCTCGGATGCAGCCTGCCAGCTCGGCGGCGCCGCCGGCGGCGGCGATTACGGCGGCGGCGCGCACGCCGCTGGCCGCCAGGGCTGCCAGCTGCTCGGCAGCTGCCAGCTGGGAGCGCGGGAAGCCGCTGCGCAGCGCGGCCACCAGCTCCGCCACCGAGGCGTGGCCCCCGCCGCCGCCGCCCTCGCGGCTGCCGCCGTCACGGCTGCCGCTGTTGCGGGATGGGAGCGAGGCTGCGGCCGGCGAGAAGGCGAGGCTGCCTGGGGCACCCTGCTGCTGCTGCCACTGCCAATGCTGCACCCGGGAAATGCTGGCGGCGGCGGCGCTGTGTGCACTACCGGTACTGCCGGGCCCCGCCGCCGCAAGCTGCTGCTGCTCCGGTACCGCCGGTAACGGGGAGGGCGCGCTGGCGGCTCGTGCCAGCTGGCGCCGGCCTGCTGGCGGCGGCGGCTGCTGGGGCAGCGGTACCGTGGCAGTACTGTTGGTGGCCCTCTGCAGCGGGTCTGCCTCAGACTGCCGCAGCCCCGGCACATGTGCCGCCTGCGCCTCCTTCCAGCCCTCCTGCCGCCGCAGGTGCTCCAGCGCCTCGGCCGCCAGCCTGGCTGCCTCGCCGCCGCCGGTGGCGGCCAGGGAGGAAAGCGCGGGCCCCGCCCCGGCCGCCGCCAGCCTGGGCGTGGCGCCGGGCTCCCTGCAGCGTAAGCAGGTGGGTGGGCCGGCCGTTCCCATGCACACTCAGGTTTAGGTGCAGGAAGAAGGTTTTGCTTGCGCTGCTTTGCAGGCAGCCAGCCAGCCCACCTGCTGAGCGCCAGCAGCAGCGCCGCCGCCTCGCGCTCCACCTCCGCCTCGCTGCCGCTGCCGCGGTACCGTCCCGCCGCCAGCCTGGCCAGCGCCGCCAGCGGCGCCGGGTGCAGCAGCCCCGCCGCGCCGCCGCCGCCGGGGGTCACCTCTGCCACGGAGCGCAGGATGGCCAGGCAGCGGCGGGCCACCACGCCCGCGCACCACGGCTGCTGGTCTGCAGGGTAAAGAAAGCGGGGCGGGGCGGCGCCAGCCTGTCAGGTAATGTTGGCCAGCTGCCCTGCAGCAAACCCCATCCGGGCGGGCAGCGCTCGGCAGCGCTGCAAGAGGGCCGACCGCCGCCTATGGCGTGGCCCGCTGCCGCTACAATGCCTGCCGCTGCCGTGGCAATGCCTGCATGCGTGCATCGCCTCAGCCCACCCCACTACCAGCAGTGCCGCCACCCCTCGCCCCACACCCCCACTCTCACCCGCATCATGGGCGTCCAGCAGCCCCGCCACCGCCCCCACCCCGCCGCACCCCACCAGCTGCGCGGCGGAGCAGGCAGGCTGGGCTGCCAGTAGCTTGGCCACGGCTCGCAGCGCGCCGCGGCGGCGGCCCCAGCCGTCGCGCCGGTCGCCCGCCGGCGCGGCGGCGGCGGCGGTCAGGGCTGGGAGCAGCCTCAGGTCCAGCAGCCGCGCATCGATTGCCGCCGTCTTTCCTGCCAGCTGGGACACGAGGAAGGCGGCGCTCATGCGCAGCCGCTCCGCCGCCGCAGACGGCTCCTGCTGCGGCGGCCCGCCGTGCCCCGCGGCGCCGGCCGACGCCTCGGCGGGCTGCGGCGTGTCCCCTGGTGGCGCCAGCAGCTCTCGCAGGCGCGGCAGCAGGCGAGGGTGGCCGCCCAGCGCCGCCAGCAGCACGACGTCGTTCTGGGTGACCTGGCACAGGCGCTCGATGGCGGTGGCCGCCACCTCGGCGTCGCCGCTGAAGGCCGAGTGCACGAGGTCCATGCCTGGCAGGAGGCCCTGGCTCTGGCGCTGCTGCTGCAGATGCTGGTGCTGCGCGCTGTTGGTGTCACGCTTCTGGCCGAGGAGGCCCTGCGCGAACCCAATCGCTGGGGGCGCTCCCAGCTGGCTGCAGTGCTGCTGGGGCGGCTCTCCGAGGTTGCCCTGCGAGCTGCCTGCTTGGCCAGCCGCCCTTGGCGGCTTCTGAGCCCTAGTAGGGCTTGTACACTGCTGTGCACCTGGCAGCTCGGCTTGAGACGGCCCTTGGATGGCCTGCCAGAGGACAGCAGCGCAGCAGCCGTCTCTGGTTCACAAGGTTGGGCGGCGGCGCCTCGCTGGCGCGATGGAAGAAAGTGCAACGGCGGCAGGGCCAAGGGCCCTCCAGCTCACACTGTGTGGGGAGCCATTTCTTATTTCCGGTGCCAGATCCCACGATATTGACCCCCCATGGCGCCGGCGCCGGTGCCGCCGCCGGTGATGCTTTGAGCCGCCTTGCACACCTGCTGCTCATCGCCTCCCTTACTCTGCCTCCTTCAGGAGGTTCATGTCGGTTTTCTGTTCCAAAACGTATCCCGGTGCTAAATGAGAACTCGAGTGCCATTCCAAGCACATGCATGGGTGAGCGTGCAGACATGCCGCCGCTTGCTGCCCCGACCAGGCAGCTGCCCTGGCCGCTGGCTTCTGCCGCCGATTCTCCTTCCTCATCACGATGGCCGATCAGGGCGCGCCCGGTCCGGCAGCAGAGTACTCGGGGCGTGCCAGCGGCAGGCCAGCTTCAGCCGCCGGGGCGCCGGCCGGCGGGGCGACGGCGGCGGGGGGCGCCTCTGGCAGCGGCGCCAGGCCCAGGGCAAGGGCGCCCACAGTAGCGGCGGCGATGGACGTGGCGGCGGGCGTCATGCCGTGCGCGGCACCATCCTGCACGCGGCGCAAGAGAAGCTTTCAGCGCGTGCTGCCATGTCGATGACGGCACAGCACCCGCCCTCCATCGCAGCCAGCTGCCCAGGCGTGTGCACCGAATATGGTTTTGCCAGCTGCTGCCAGTGGCCCCAATGCCGCAAGCAGGCAGCATCTGGCGCCACCGGCGACGGTGGGGCCAGTAGCAGGCACCTACCGGCGAAGTGGCCGCGGCGTTGCCGCTTCGCGGCGCCAGCTGCGGCGGCACCGCACAATCGGGCAGCGTCAGGTCGGCAGCTGCCAGCTGGGCGTTGAAGGAGCGCGCAAAGCCGGCGCCGCCGCCGTCCGCCGCCTCTGCAGCACGGCACGGCGGGCAGGTGGGGGCAGAGGTGCCAGCGGTGAAGAGGATTACATGCAGCGGTAGGGCACCCGTGGTGAGCAAGCGCATGTGAGGCAGAGCTAGCAAGGGCATGGGGAGGTGTGCACTGAATGGGCTAGGGCTGCCCAGCAAGCGCACGACACGGCACAGCGCAGCCCAGGCAGGGGCAGGGAGAGGCAGCAGGCGAGGGGGTAAGAGTGTTTCTGTCTCACGTGACAGGGTCAGGAGGGTGCTGCCGCAGCACTGGCGGGCGGCCACCGTGGAAGCCTCGGCCGCGGCAGCTGCCGCGGGGCCCCCCGCAGCCACGGCGGCTGCCAGGGCCTGGGCGGCGGCGGGCGGGTCCAGGCAGAGCGCGGGCCACAGGCCCTGCGGCAGCGGTGGGAGGCGAGCGGGCACAGCAGCCACAAGGTGTGTGAAGGGAGGGAGTGCCGTCTGCGGGAGGTGTGGCCAGTGCAGGCTGGGTCCCCATTGCGCGGCGCTTCCGCTCAGTCACCGCTGCTCCTGGCTGCCCCAAACAGCACCACTGGCGCTGCCGGCGGGAGCCCAGGCAGCCGGCCCACCGTGAGGAAAGCGTCTGCGGCCGCGCCGCCGCCCGCGGCGTTGACCATCCCGGCCAGCCGCGCGCCCGCGCCGCCCCTCACCGCCGCCGTCGTCGCGCGGCCCGCGGCCTCGGGGCCGGCAGCGGCGGCGGCGGCGGCATAGGCCGCAGGGTCGGCGGCAGTGATGGCGGCAGCCACGTCTTGCTCGGTGGCTGAGCCCACATCTGAGGCACGATAGGGCGACGACAGCGCGGCGGCGCGCTCGGCGGCGGCGGGAGGCAGGGAGCCGGCGCCGGCAGCGGCTCCGCTGCCGTAGCCGGCGATGGGCTGGGGGGCATCCTGCTCTGAGGCTGGGGCGGCAGCGCCTGAGGGCGAGGCGCCCTGCTCCTGCAGCAGACTGCGGGCTGAGGCCTGGCCCGGGGCAGCGCTGGCGGCCGCCAGGAGCAGCAGGAGCAGCAGGCAGGCGCGGGGCATGGCTCTGAGGTGTGGTTGCTGCGAGAAGCAAAGCAGAGGACAAGGGGACGGGAGCGGCCACATGGGCTGTCCAAGGGTGTTCCTGCTTTCCTCATGCCGCCCAGCCCCTGCGACGCGGCTGCCAGCGACCGGCCTCCACCGCACAGCACATGGGAACGCAAGAGCGCTATCATCGCCACCACACACGCGCGGCAGCTGCCCTTCTGGCCATGCGATGCAGAGGTTGGGGTTACAAGAATGCAGAGGCGCCCGCCGGCGGGGGCGGCGCTGCTGCGGCGACTTTGCAGCACAATGGGCAGAGGGAGCAAGGGCAGCTGCTAAGCGGGGAGGGAAGCACCAGCAGTAAGTGGGTAGAAGGGGAGTGGGGGTGGGGCGGTCAGTGGGCAAGGTGCAAAGCAAAAGCGGAGTAAGCGGTGGGGCCTAGAGTGTTTAAGAAAGTGTGCCCATGGGCGGCCCATGCAGAGGGCACGGAAACAGGGAGAATGAGCAACAACCGGGAGGGACTGCCTAGTGAAGCGAGGTGTAGGTGTGTGCAGGGCCACAGGGGCCCAGGTGTGGCACGCCGCCATCGAGGGGCAGCGTTACGGAAGGAAGGAGGGTGCCTGGCAGCCCGGGGGGGGGGACCCCCGGCGGCCGACGGCGCTGCCGAGGCTGCTGCCGCCGCCAACGATGCCGGGGCTGGAGGCAGCTCCCTTGATCCACGGCCTCAGTCGGATCCATCCATGTCGTTTTGCTCGTAAGGGTTGAGCATGCCGGGCACCTTGGCCAGCTTGTGCCGCTCCGCCTCCGCCTGCGAGGCAAGGCAGCAGGGTCAGGGGGAGGTGAGAGAGGCCGCGCTTGGCCGGCAGGCAGGGCGTGCGGCGGTTCGATCCCCCGCAGCAGCACCGGGAGGGGGCCGCAGCTGCTGCCTGCTCGAGCGCACGCCACCTCCGCCGCCGCCAATTCCTTGAACACATGGTCGTCGCCTGCGCCGCGGCCTCCGCGACCAGCCAGCACACACAAGCACACACACAACATTGCACACCTGATCCCCCCCCCATGCCCCCGGCTCCCACCTGCGCCGCCACCTCTTCTGTGAACAGGTCTGCGTTGTTCTGGTCTGCAAACTGGTTGGACTGCACCAGGAAGTCGCGCAGAAGCTGCTTGAAGGTGGGGAACTCGCGCAGCTCCATCATGCCCAGCACCGTGGCCTGCGCGGCGCGGTACGGGAGGAAGGCGGGGGAGGGGAGCGGGCACGGCGTCGGTGTGTGCGTGCGTGCACCATTCCAGTGATGGAGGGGCCGTGGTACGGCGTGTGTGCGCGGTGGGGGTGGGGCGGGAGGGAGGGAGACAGCATGGTTCATGCACGGCAGGCGGGGGGCAGCGGCAAGGCCGGCTGGGCGACGGCAGGGCAGGCACAGGCTGCAGCGCCTGGGCGCTCCACCCGGGGCACGGTAGCTCGGCAGCCCCACGCCCTTGCCCCTGCACCGGTGCCACACC